GACGTAGGACCCTCGCATCTCACATAGTTCTCGCAGCCCTCGAGGGCATGGACCCAGGTCTTCCGTGGTTACTGAAATGTCACCTGGGTGCTGCGGCTGCTTTGGACTTCTGTACTGAGCCTGGAGCTAAAACAGGGACATGGAGACTGAGCTCGGGACAGAGCCCAGTGGGGTGGGACATGGTCAGCGGCCAATCTTGGGACCTGTCCCACTCTGCACGACTGGGTGGCAGTGGGCTCAGCCGCAGCCCTTTCAGTGATACCTTGCGCTGGCCATTGGTGTCGAGGAGACTGCATCGGCCCCCAGTATCTTAGCACTGAGTGTCTCGGCATGGAGTGTGCGGGGTCGCCAGCATAACAGACATTTGGAGGGCAAATTGATGCGATCAGAGCCATAGAGGATACAATTACTCATACCTTGTTAGGCACCCGCTGCACACACATGGCCTGGGGACAATGACTACGTTCTCGCACACACGGGCTTGCTGCCACCCGCAAGCACGCGCCCACCCTGGGCCTCCCAAGCCTGTGACCTGCACACCTCTCCGCCGGTGCTGCATGCCTGGTGTGTGCGCTCTGAGCGCAAGGAGCCCGGATGCTGCCCCCAGAGGCCCCTTCCAGCCCCATCACAGCCAAGAGGAGAAGGCAAACGTCACAGTCTCCTCTAGAAATCTCTCAGACCTCAGACCACAGAAAAGCGCCCCGGAGTGCAGGGACATCATTGAGTCCACCAAGGGGCCAGAACTCAGCGGCGGAGGAAGCTTTCCGGTTTCTTGCATTTCCTGAGCTAAAACCCTGCGGGGCACTGGGATGGGGCCTGCCAGAAGGGTTGCGGGTTTGTTAGGGGGGCACGAGGGCACAGGTGGAGGCCACTATAACCGTGGACCGGTCAGCAGGTGCCCTGGGATTAATGGGGATCTTAAGCTGCTTGAGAGATCTGCACTATGAGCGTGGGCCTGCGGAGGGCCAGGCGCCGCTCGCTGTTTCACAGGTGCCGATGTTTCAGTTCTCTGTATCCTCAGGCTGATTTTCCAGCCTGGACTGGGGGCTGTGGTGTGTGCAGCCGGCTCACACCTCCTCCCACTCCGGAGTCCACAGCAGCTGCCCCAGAGGGCTGGGAGGCTGCGCCCCCGGGCCAGCCTTGGCCTTCTTCATTGCTTCCCTCCTGGGGGAGGGTCTTTGTTCCTCCTGCTCTGTCTCAGTCTTTCTCTGCCCTAGTTCTGTCAGTCACCTCCTGCCTTGTAAGCTGTCAACCTTGAATGGTGACACTTGCTTGGCTGGCCTGGGACTTGCAGTCCTCCTGCCTCAGTGCAGGCAGGCTCCACCACGCCCAGCTGCGTGCCTCTTTTTCATGTCTCCTGTCCACCTTCCCCTCATTACGGAGCAGGCTGTGCTTGGTCTCGCAGCCCGTTTGTTTTACAGATGTTCTCCGCATGTACACTGTGGGGCATGGACACCGTCAGTGCCCGAGCAGGGGCCAGACAGAGCCCATCTGTGTCCCGTAGAAATCGTTCATTTATTCTTCCACGGTCTCTCAGTGCACCTCTGCTGCCTGCCTCACCCTATGTTAAGCTCTAGTCTGGCAAAGGACAAATGACCAGAGGCCCTGACCCTTGGGTGCTGACATTCAGAAGGAGGTGCTGGATATGCAGGGCTCGATCTGCTACTGGTCAGCAAACACAGGCTGCGCCCCAGAGGCAAGCAGAGGTCAGCAGGCTGTCACAGCTGGGAGGGCTTCCTGGAGGAGGGATAGCTGCAGGAGGGACATCCCAGGCTGGTGGCTGGATGTGGGGGATGCAGGGGACCAAGGAAGCTGGCATTTTCCGTTGCTCTGGATCTGGGTTTTCAGAGGCTGGTTCTCAGCCAGCCCCTCCAAATCACCTAATCACACAGTATTCTGTTGGCTTGCGTAAGGGCCCACCACACCACCTGCCCCATCCCTGTCACCTGCCAGCCTAAGAGCTCCCTGGGAGCAGCACCAAGAATGGCAGGCACCGAGCCTTTGTTGTGTAAATTAGGGATCCAGCCTCAGATTTTTTTTTTTTTTTTTTTTTTTTTTTTTTGTGGTACTGGGGATTGAACTCAGAACCCTGTGCTTGCCAGGGAGGCACTTATTCTGAGTTATCTCCCCAGCCCTACAGCCTCAGAATTTAAAAGCAAGGTAATTAATGACCAGGTGAAGTTGGAAGGATTTCTTCCCACTTCCTGGAGAAGCCAGAAGTGGAATTCCTGCTGTCTCCAGCATGACACACCTGCCCCTTACACCTGTCTCCCCTTGCACACCCTCCAGAGTGCCCTGTGGGCTGAGGTGGTGCCAGCCACCCTGCTTGCTGTCCCCTCTGTGGGTGGGTGAGTCATACAATATCCCAGGTGGATGGGTAGAGCTGAGAGCCAGAGCAGGCAGGTCTCAGGGAGCAGCTGGCACGGACAAACTGGGCCCTTCCTGTCTACCTCAGAGGCCAGGGCACTCTGCCACTTCCTGCTGAGCAGAGAGCCTGCTTGCTCTTAGCTGCTTCTGGGTGGGGGGGAGTGTCCTGCTCTATCATCCCCAGGGGCTGGTTCTTCCCCTTGAAGGATGAACAGATGCAGTGAGGGTCCTGGATTCCTTCTGCTCCTCTCCGGAACAGAAGCACAAGACCCTGAGTGTGCAGTAGACAGACCAAGAAGCCCAGGGCTGTACTGTGTTGGTAGCTTGGGTGTGGTCTCCTTTCTCTGAGCCTCAGTTTCCCCCCCCCCAGTCCCTGGCTGCTATGCAGGGTGGTCTCTAGAAAAAGGGGGGAAGGGGCCGCAGTGAGGGGCAGGGCTGCCTCCCAGGCCCGGCCTCCAGGAAATTGCACAACAGGGATGTTTATTTTTGGTGAGCTGGGTGGGATTTCTTTCCCTTAAAAAAAAAAAAAAGACCCAAAACATAAAACTTATTTGTCTGCCAGGAAGATAAATATCTCTGCTGAAAGCTCTTGGCCCGGTTGCCAGCTGCAGTTTGCACGAGGCTGTCAGTGAAGCCGTGGCCGCCTGCGTGTGCCTGGGCCCATGTGTGTGGCACCCACGATGCCCTGGGTGGGGCTCCGTGCACCTACGCTGCCTCTCCACGCTGCTGGGGGCAAAGGGGCCTGCTTGACTGGGAGGGGAAAGGTCCCCCTCTGCTTTCTCCATGCACACTAAAGAAGGGATGGGGACTCTGAGCCTCGGCCTGAGGGCTTAGGTTAGAGGCATTCTGACCATCAGTACTGGCCACCCTGTACTGGCCACCGCGACCTGTGTCCTGAGGAAGGGGCTGGGCCAGAGTGATGGAGACACATGCCTGCTGTGCTATTGTTCGATGACCCTGCCAGCGTCTTTAGCTCCATTTTATGGAGAGGGAAACTGAGGCACGAAGAAGTCACCTAAACTGACCTGCCCTACACTGGATGTCTGCCTGGGATGCCAACAGGGCTGTTTAGATGTGGATGAGCTGCTCTTGTCCCAGCCTCCCAGCTTGGCCTCTGCCTGTGTCCCTGACCTGTGGGGGGTGACTTAGTCCCTCCCAGTCCTGAGTGTCCAGGACCTGGCCCCTGGAGCTCCACCATGTTGACAGGCAGTGGCTGTGGGCTGCAGCTGCAAGCTGTGCTCACATCAATCCCCTGGGGCTCAGATGTCACCTCTGGGGACGAGGGGGCCTAGATAGCCTTAGTAAGCAGGGGGTTGGACATTGCTGCCAAAGGAAAAGCATTAAAGCCTGCATCGTGCCACCTCCCAAGGAGAAAGAGCCTTTATCTGGGTGGCTGGAGAGACCAGTGTCCAGGGTGCACTGGTGGAAGGAGACATGGCACCAGTGCTGGAGTCTTCGGGCCTGTATGTTGGTTGGTTGGTTGGTTGGTTGGTTGGTTGGCTTGAGACAGGATCTCACAAAATTGTTCAGGCTGGCCTTGAACTCACAGCATCCTCCTACCTCAGCCTCCCAAGTGCTGGAATTACAGGTGTCACCACTAAACCTTGGACTTGGCACTGGAATCTCGAGACATGGGAGTCCCCACAGCTGCTGTGGAACCCCAAATGGGACCAGACTGTCACAGCACTGGCCTCTTGCTGTCACCCCCAAACACAGCAGGCCTAGCCATGGCTACAGAACAAGTTGTCCCCTCCACCCAGGTAGGACCAAGGTGCTAGACAGTGACATCAGCACCACAGAGTTCTGGTTGGGGATCTCTTCAGAGCAGGAAACTATCATCCATGGGGTGCAGATGAAAGTCATGGAGGTCAGATGGGTCGGCCCAGAGACCTATAATACTGGTGCCAGCAGGGACCCATTATAAGATAGTGCCACAGAGGCTCAGAGAGCAGGAGGATAGGCACAGCTACCCAAGGCAGGATTAGAGCCCAGTTTTCCAGCCTCGTGCTTAGGCAGGGTCAGTTCCCCCAGGATGTCTGCCCCTCTTGCTCATTTCTGCCACTGCTTTCTGACCTAGTCTCCTTCTCTCTCAGCTAAAGAGAGCTCGCTGGGAGAGCCAGAGTTGCCCCCTGACTCGGACACCGTGGGGATGGACAGCAGCTACCTCAGTGTTAAGGAGGCTGGGGTGAAGGGTCCCCAGGACCGGGCCAGTGCTGACCTCCCCAGCCCCCTGGAGAAGGCCGACTCCGAGAGCAACAAGGGCAAGAAACGGCGGAACCGCACCACCTTCACCAGCTACCAGCTGGAGGAGCTTGAGAAGGTCTTCCAGAAGACCCACTACCCGGACGTGTATGCACGGGAGCAGCTGGCCATGAGGACAGACCTCACTGAGGCCCGCGTGCAGGTCAGCGGGGCTGCCAAGTGGCAGCAGGGTGGGGTCCCTGTGGAGCCTGGGGGGGGCCCAGCTGCCCCTCATTCCTGTCTACCGAGACGGTCTTCTCCTACCTCCGTCTTAGTAATGGCCATCTTGTATGAGGGCAAAGTAGGGCAGGTCCATAGGGGACAGGAAGCCTGTCTTCCTGCTCCCACCCCCTAAGTGAGTCCAGTCCCCTTCATGAAGTAGGAATCCAAGTGGCTTCTGCTCTGGAAACTTTGTCTCTCAGGTGGGACACAGGACAAACACATGAGCATGCACAGCTACCCCAAGCCAGCACCTCCTTCTGCCTGGGCTGGCCCCTGCTCCAGCCTTCTGGTCCCAATGCAACACACCTCCTCCCTAGTCTTTCGGCACTAGGATGAAAGCAGTAGGCCTGCCACCACCCAGCCACCAAAACCCCAACCCTGCACAGCTCAACATAGCACAGCACAACCCAAACCAATACAACCAAACACAACAGAACTCAAAACAACCCAACCCAACATAACACAACTCTGACCAACGTAACTGAACATAACCAACACAACTCAACCAAAATGATCACAACCCAACTCAACTCAGCCCAATACAATACAACCCAACTTAGCAATAAAACACAACTCAGCCCAACACAATATATCCCAATACAACCCAACACAACCTAACTCAGTATAACACAACTAAACTCACCCAATTCATTTATTTTATTGCTGCATTTTAAGGAAGGGTCTACAGGGTGTTCAAGGTCTCACTACTAGATCAGACTCACAGTGATTTTCCTGTTTACATCCTCCCAAGTGCTGGGATTGCAGGCATGTGCTACCACGCCCAGTCTTAGTTGCCATTTCAACATACCCCGAGGGCAGGGCCAGTATATACTCACCCAATTCAACACAACGCATTACAACACAACCCAGCCTTTACAACACAAACCAACACAACTCAATACAACATAAAACAAATCAACACAGCCCAATAGAACTCAAACTAACATAACTCAATACAGCACAGCAAATGCAATACAACTTAACCCAAAACAACCCAGTTTAACTCAACCCAATGCAGCATAACACAACACAATCAAACCAG